TCACTGCCAGCAAGCTGATTCTGAGTCTTTGTGACCCTCCATAAAGCCACACCAGACTCGCTACCATCCAGTCTACCCTGGCTCACAGCGACCCTCTAGAACAGGGGAGGGCCGCCCCTGTGAGCTCCCCAGACTGTAACTCTTCATGGGAGTAGAAAACCCTGTCTTTCCCCCACAAGCGGCTGGTGGTTTCGAACTGCCAACCTTGCATCAATGCTTACCCAGGAGGTCAGCAGAGCTCCTTCAGCCATGCTTAGCATAGGAAACCCAGGTGCACAAAACCATGGGGCTTTCAGTAGTTTAGACCTGTGCTTAGCGGCCCAGTGAGTCGTCGCCAGGGCTCCTCCCGTGTAATAATAGAGCCCTGAATGTAGCCGCCTAGGCACCTGAGCTGTGGGCAGAGGCATTTCTGCTTATGAGATCCGTCCCCTGAGGCACCAGACCCAGGCGAGGTGGCTCAGCTCACAGAGGCTTCCTGGCTCCGCAGCAGACAGGTACGTGTCCTACCTTTGTTAGCGTGTCCACCACGGTCACCAGCGGCTGCTTTGCAGGGTACTTGGCCATGTCCCACTCAAAGTGCGTCACGAAGGAGGTCAAGTCAACTAGGAAACAAACACATTTCAGGAAGTAAGCAGGGCTCTCCAAGCCCCGTCAAAACCGATGGCAAGCCCGAAGCCCCGGCGTACACCACGGGAGCCCTGAAGGGAACACCGGCCACAGACGAGGGCTCTGGGGAAGCACCCCTGCCCTGAGTAGGTGAGAGTGCTGAGGGCACTGTCCGTCTGACCACCGTCAGCCCAACCTGCCAGCAGCACCCCTACAGCCCCAAAGGGAAACACCCCCGAATGGGACTCCAGATGCCACCCAAGTGTCCCACGACCCAGCGAGGGAAGGTACGCAGCCTGGGCATGTGCCAAGAGCCATGTGACGGCCCAGACGAAGAGTTCGCCCTGACAGCCTGTGGACTTGAGCCCACCCTCACGCACTGATGCCAGTCCCTCAGCTGTGACAAAGGCAGCCCCTTAACCAAAGCCAGGAAGGGAGTCTGGGGGCACAAGCAATCTGCCACTGAGCGCTAGTCTCCAGGTGGAGGTTCAAATCCACACAGCAGCTCCATGGGGAGACATGAGTGGCACCCTTCACCTGCAGAGGCTGCAGCCAAGAAAACCCTCAGGAGTAGTCCTGCTCTGCCACCCAGGGCTCCTGAGAATCGGGGCTGGCTGGCCACAGCTGACCAGGACAATCTTAATACAGGGGAAGGGCCCTAAGTGGCACAGGGCTTTGCATTCAGCTTCTACCATCCATAGGTAGCAAATACCAACAAGAAGGCTGGGGGGACAGCGAGTAAGGGGGAAGCAAAGGATGCGTGGAAGTCTACATCTTCTGTGCCATTTCCCTGCTGACCAAAACCTGCTCTGAACTAGAAAGTATCTCGCATCAAGAAGAAGAAGAGTAATAGTCTCCATCATGGGAAGGGTCACTACACAGCTGCACTTCCATGGTCAGTGCTTTCCCTCTGATACAGCCGCTAATACAGAGGCTCTGCTTTCCCAACGAGGGGAGCCCAGTGAGAGGACCGCTGGGCGCTTTGGCCCCATCCCTTGTTTGGTCATCGCTGTGTTTCTAAGGACACCAGAGACATGGCAGAGCAGGCAGGAGGTGGGGGTTGGGCCCTGCAGCAGCCCTGAGCGGACTTCCTAGGCTCATCGGGCACCACCAGGCTCCCTCCCAGACAGGCTTCCTGAGCCCAAGCCTTAGACAGCAGGCAACCTCAAAGTCCACGGTTTGTATTCACAACAGCAAGGGCCTGTGTGGATACAGTGCTTCTTCACGCACTGGTTCAGACAGGGCCTTCTCAGTGCATGTTCCTTATTGACGGAGTCCTGTTGGCACGGTGGTTAGAGCACTCCATTGCCAATCAAAAGGTCAGTTCACACTCACAGCTTCAGGGAAGAAAGAGATGGCGGTGTGCTCCCTTCAGGACCGATAGCTTGGGACACCCTACAGGGCAGGTCCAAGCCGTCTTAGAGGGTTGGAGCCGACCGGACAGCGGTCAGTTTGAGTTTGGGTTCTTTACCTAAAAGTGCATGTGTTCATTAGAAAAGTTAGATGGGAGGCCGGGGAGGGGGGAGGGGGAGGACTTGAAAAGGGACCCCCCACATGCAGACTACGATCAGTGCCCCTGAAATGTACATGTAGAGATGGTCTGGTTACACTGGCATGTGTCGTGCTGTGTATTTTCTCAACAGCAATGGCAGAAAGTAAAATCCGATACAATTCCAAAAAATGGAATGAACTTGAGTATGTATCGACAGAAAGCGGACAGGTGTATCCGTGGTCTCCAGGCTTGGGAGGGAGAGAGGGAAGGGGGGCTGACATCGTATAGAATTCTGAGCTTAGATTTATGATGATGGAAAAACTGCATTAGAAGTAGGGTTATCTCGCCGGTTATTAAAGCGGCTGTCAATAAATCGCACAAGTGGGAAAAGTGGAAATAGCTGGTCTCTATATGTCACCCTGGCAACACAGGAAGATGAGTCAGAAACGGAATGTGAGGCTTAATGGACTCTTCTGACAGCAGCCCCACTTGTCACGAGACCAGAAGAACTGGATGGTGCCCAGTGCCCATTATGGCACATTTTAATCAAAGAATCCATAGAAAAATCCTGATCACCAGGAGGTAGTGGTGGAAGGGGTCTTGGGGTGGAGGTAGCAGGCATGCAGAACAGAATTTCAAATTCTCATGGAGTCCAGTTGAGATAGTTTTTGGAAACGTAGAAAGTCTTTACACCGGTGGTTCTCAACCTTCTCATGCCACAACCTTTTCATACAGTTCCTCATGTTGTGGTGACCCACCAGCCATAAAATTATTTTCCTTGCTACTTCATCACTGCAATTTTGCTACTGTTGTGAATTGTCATGAAAATATCTGATAGGCAGGATGTGTTTTCCTTGTTACAAACTGAACGTCATGGAAGCATAGTGGTGGATCACAAATACAAGATGTAATCGTATATTGTGAAATATTTATTTCTAATGACAAATCCATGAAATTTTGTCCTGAAGCATGGTGTGGCATGGGTAACAGTTTTCACACCGGGTACTCATATGTGGGTGTGTCTGCCTGTGGGCAGACCCGCCTGGAGACGGATAGAGGAGCGGAGTCTGGGTTCCTAACACCATTGGAAATATGTGTTTTCAGATGGTCTTAGGCTGTAGTATTAAATTAAAATTGGCACGGAGGAGTGGGGTGAAAGGGTCGTTTGACCCCCAAAGGGGTCTAAACCCACAGGTTGAGGACCACTGGTTTATACCTTACACCAAAAATGTCCCCTAAGGTGTTCTTATACCAAACAAGAGGGGGCTTAGAAATGAACAGCTGCCAGCAGCTCTTTGGAGAACGACCCGAATGGGATCAAGCTGACACAGGTAACTAGAAAGATCAGAGAGAAACCGTGGGGGCAGCGGGTGTCTGTAACCACGGCAGGGAAACAGTGAGGAAAAAAGGGTGTGCTCGATGCTACTGAACTGTGTGCACTTGGAGAAACTTCCAGGGCCGTCTCTCTTCTCCACCACAACAAGAGTATTCTTAAAGAGATGAAGTAAAATAAAGCCTCAGAGTCATTCAAGCAAACACCTCTCGGGGTTCCTGCTGTGGGAGGCCTGGTGGCCTGGTGGTCACCAGTCAGGCTGCTCCCCCAAAGGCCCACAGTGAAAACCACCAGTTGGTCCCTGGGAGAAAGCCGGGCCTTAGTGGAAAGACTAGTGAGTCTCAGAAACCCAGGGGCCAGCTCTAGCCTATCTCGCTCGATGGCAGTGATGTGCTCCTGTCAGACCCTGCCAGCTGTGGGGCTCAGGAAAGAGCCCTGGATCCATATGCAGGAGGCTGAAAGCCATTGGGCTGCTGCAGAGGTTTGGGACCTGGAGCAAGTGAGTCACAGCAGCACCTCTCTGGACCCCCGCTTCCTTACCTGAGAAATGGGGCCACGGAGAAGGCACACCTTGATGAGGCTGCACTCCAGATTAGTTAGTTCTGACCCGAGATCTCAAGTGTTCCCTGTGGGCCACCGCTAGGAGGCACCAGGCCCTGGAAGAGGACATCATGCTTGGTACCCAAGAGGCTCAGGGAGGATCCTCAACGAGATGGATTGGCACAGTGGCTACCCGCACTGTGAGCATGTACTGTTGGCTGCTGTTGCCCCTCGGGTCACCACTGTGACTCAGAACCAGGCTAACAAGATCAGTCAGCACCACCCCCTGTGGGCCAGCTGATGACGACGTCTGCCCCTGCTGTGCTGCTTCTCTTCACAGATCACCTCATGGGGTGACAAGTGATGGACTTTGGAAAAATGGGCCCCAGAGAGCCCTGGAGTCCAGTGCTACTTGGACACAGGCCAGCCACCCTACACTGGAACCGACTGGACGTCGGCAGGTTACCCAGTGGAAGCAGGGAACTCGGCTCAGGTTTCCGTGCAGCTGTGATCCTTGGAATGCTTCCAACCCAAGCACAGTCAGCCTCTCCATCCAGGTACATTCTACTGCACGCCCCGTCTCTCTTGCATGCGAGGGCGTCCTGCATATCGCTCACTGGACCCAGAATCCCCTTTACGGAACCCCAGCTCCTTACCCTGTGGGGGTGCAGGAATCAGACCAGCTAGACCACGCCCTTGATTTCCAACCGCCCCCCCCCACCTTTACTGGGGAGACATGAAGCAGAGAGCATACTTAGGTGAGCTGGGTAGCAGAAGACAGCTAGGGTGCTGTGTGTGTGATGGAGGGTGGGGGGTGGAAATCAGGGGAGGGGTTTACCGTAGACACAATCCCTGCCCAGAGACTTGAAAGGGCATAGTAGTTTGCATGTGGGCTGGGGTGGGTCAGGGCACCACAGGAAGAGGTGGAGAGGGCGAGTTCTGGGCACAGTGAGTCACTGGGCAAAGGGAATGTGGACAGTGGCAGAACAGGAAAGCCCAGGGCAGGGTCCAGAAAAGTCCTGCAGGACCCAGAAGAGCGTGGGCGTCATCCTGCGATACGACAACTAATGGGTTACACACACGGAGGCCTCACAGTGCCAGGAAGTGGACAGACACAACCTCCAATCAGGCCTGCCAGCCCATTCTCCAAGACACAGAGCAGCCAGCCCAAGGAGGGACACTCCAGGGGCGATGTGCATAAACTGACTTCCCCGTGAGCCGCTGCGTGTGGCTTTGAGGAGAAACTGTCTGGGAGGTCTGCTGAGGGTCAGAAGAAGGAGGAGGAGGAGGAGGAAGATGGAGAAGAAGGCGAGTAAGCACAGAGAGGAGGGCCGACTCAACAGGATGCAGCGTCCACTCTCCACGGGGCATGGACGAGGTCTGGGTATCAGGATGAGGAACCTAGTGGAAGAAGTCACTCAGCCAAGCTGGCCCAGAAGGTGGCAATAGGGGGAGGGAGTGGAGGGGGGAAGAGGCGGGTTCCACTTGGGACAGGTAGAGCTTTAGGTTAGGAAAGGCCAAACAGCATGCTCAATTGGAAATATGATCGAGTTCAGAGAAGGGTCTGGCCCGGACGCAGCGTTCTCCCCAGAGAGCAGCTGGGAAGTGCCGTGCAGTGATGACGGTGACAG